ATGGAAAAAAGTTTATTTTGTTTGATACTGAAATATTTTTTCTGTTATGCAGTGATGTCAAGAGAGTTGTTTAAAAGGTGTCTGGAGCACCGGATCACAATTTTCTCTCCTCTATTGTAAAGAAAAAAGTGAAAGCGTTACTGTCTGGTCTTGTTTGAGTGCTGTTAAGTTATTAGGGCAGACATTTTCTTATTACATTAGGCCAAGATGACAGGATGACCAACTCGCACTTCTCTACTTCCGCCAGCAGCAGCTCAAATGAAGCCTAGTGGGAGAAGTAGCTGCTAAAGACATTAGGCCATCCATTTTTTGCCATCTGACATTTTCAGTGTGAATCAGTTGTTAAAGTTGTCAGGACGGCATCCAAGCATAGAGTCCTGAAACTCCTAAAAGCTAAACAAAAAAACAAAAAAAAATCGGTTTTTACTATAAAAACAAATGTGTTGAGACAACGAGGTAGTAACCTCAAGATCTGATCAAAGTGTCTTGTCAATCGATTAAAAATTTCAATCAGATTAATCTCTCTAGTGCTGTGATTAATCACTGTGCCTAACTTTGTAAGTTTGATGTATAAACATTCTTGCAGGAATGACGCCCCGAGCAACGAACCAACTAAAATACAACCAATCATCTGTTTGTTTTTGTAGCAGACAGCAGGTAACGTAATCTCCCAGTACTCAACACAAACTAACAGAAACTTACTCCACTGTAGAATAGTAGCAAACTTATTAAGGGAACAGCTGGCAAATAGAATATTTCATTTTCTGGTTCTTGGGTGACCCACCCCTTTCTGATGCCGTTCTGGGCAACTGCCTATATTGACGCTTTGCAACTACGTCACTTAATCATTCGAGGCGCCATGATGGACGTCGGAAATGAGGGACTGGAGTATTGAGCAGTGCAACTGAGGTTGTTTACCCCAAGTTGTTTTTGCCAGTTTATTCGTGGCTTCTACTTGTTTGAGTCGAGCCAATTTATCTGTGAATGTAACACACCTGGTTGGAGTCGTAGACGGCGGGATTTACTTGAAACAGCTAGCTTACAAACCGACCCACACCTCCTCCCTCCTGACATGTTGATCAAATTACCTACTTCGCCTGAATTCACACCACATGATTTATGTCACTTTGTCATAACCAGAGTTTCCCCTTAAACCGAAGCAATATTAAAAACGTACAAAAGACAAGATGATACAAATATCCTCAAACCAAACATGTCTGAAGATTCTCAGTTTTCCAGGTTTTTATATTCAGGATGGCTTAAAGGAGTAATTTTGTTTTAGACATTTTAAGAATGTCCCTCTCCATTCATTTAAAATGAAACATGTGCAAAGAGGCAACATGCGAACAAGGCAACCCTCTGCAGGAGAGAGGCTTTAATTAGGTCAAAATAGGTAGTTTGGTTAATCTGCATTGTGTAACATTAAGACATTTAAAATTCCAGATTAATCATGTGTCAACATTGACAGCCCAAGTTTTAATATAAGACACAAGTGAATAAAATAATATTGCACAGGAATATAAACCATTAATAATAAAATAGTCCCTTGTAAAATATCTTCATTGTGTAGATATTATTTGGACCCCATAGGAAGAAGTTGGCTGGCAGTTCCTACTAAATACATTGAATGAGTCTGTCCCCACACAATACCAAAGAACCTGTATATATTATTTTTTGAAATTGGATGTCTGCTCAGTTTCCTGAGCAGAGCTGCTCTGGTGCCTGAGCAGAGCTCACATGAGGCTGGACATGATGCAAAATCATGTCAGGAATGGCAAATGAAGCTCCATAGAAAGGACTGCTTCTAGGCGGACATCATTACCGAAGAACTTTTGGTTAACCCAGAAATATTGTAGAACTAGCTAAAAGCAATGTATAGATATGCTGAAAACTGTATGCAGCAGCAAGTTTGGCAGAACTGTTCACATTCTTGCTTTCCATGAAATTATCTGCCACATGTCAAGCATGGTCTCATTAGCTTTTTTTTTCCACCAGAAGCTTTTACTGAGGAGCCGATGTCGTGTTTTTCTCTAACAAATTGACACAGAGGCCCTTCAGAACATGTGTGGAAACAGCTCTGGACAGGAAACGCCTTCCAATTATTGCTCCTGGAAACCATCCTCCAAACCTCAGGAAAGCATTGCATTTAGCCTTTCTGGAGAAAGGATTTGTGCTAAGCATGACTTTCTGACAAGATTATGCTACTTTATCATTTTGGGGGGTTTACAGTGTGAGCCAGTCCTGCAGAGCTCAATAAAGAGTGGGATGTTAGCCTCCACAACTTCATCCTCCTGTCAGTTTGGGAGGCTCTGTGTGGCAGTTCGGCTAGTAAACGTGTTTTGAAACATAGTCTTTATCGGCCCCTAAAACCACAGGTGCAGCACACACGATGGGAATTTTGACTGAGCAATTTCAAACGGCAGACAAAAGCCCGTTGTTAGACAGCATGGAGTGCTTTCTTTGTCCAGTGCCAAGGGGGTTACGGTGGCAGCTGTTATGAGCTGCAATCTGCATCATTTGTCATTCTCAACAGAGCAAGAGTCAGTGCCAGAAAAACAGAGAAGCTCCTTCTCCACTGTAGTCTTCACTCTCATTGTGAATAAAATGTTTGCAGAGCTTACTTATTACTGAGGAGTGGCTGTGTGCAAAACCAACAGCAAAACATCCGAACAGTGTTTAAATGGATCAAATGTACCAAATTATTTTTGCACCATCCAATTTGTTGTCTTTTTTTTTCCTATTGGTGTGTCTTTTGTCCTCACAAAGCAGCATCTGATGCAGAAAAATATGTGATGTGATCAAAGCAGCTCAGTTTCCACATCAACAATGAATGTCACTGCAATAAAACTTGTGATAAATCTACAATATTCCAGACACTGCATGAGTTTCATGGTACAGATTTTACACATTTGGATTTCATATTTCAGCAGAGTTTTTTTTCCCCAAGACTTGAAAAATGTGATTCCAGTAAACCCCAGTAGTTGTAGGTGTTCAAATTCATAAAGAAAGAAATTCACAAATCGCATACATGATGTATTATAATCTGATTTTTATTTTTATTTTTTTATATAAGCAATATTCCTTCAACAAGAGCATTTAAGTTATTATTTACCAAAGCAAACTTTCTTTTGGACAAAATAAAAAAAAAGGTGATTCAATGCAGAAAATATTAAAGTAAAGCTGCTGTCACAATGTAATGTGTGGAGACAAGAAAGGAGGTAAACTTATGAAAGCCAAAGTAAAATCCAAGCAAGATTCAAAAGAAAAAAAAAATCAACAGCAGAAAGGAAAACTCAGGAAATAACTAGAATAATCAAACTGAAGGCGACCTTTCTAAATGGAAACACCTTAACCACATAACAGAAGGAAATAATGAAAGTTGGACAGAACTACAAAGTATTATCTGCAGGAGGAAAATAATGACAAATACATCAATGTGTTGGTGCCATAGAAGCTTAAAACAGATAAAAAATGTTGCGCAAAACTGTATTAATAGTACAAGAGCGAAGGCCTTTTGAGGGAACAACCTTAGAAACTATGTTGTCTGTCAAACTTGGGCTAATTTTCTCTGCGTTGCCAGCAGATACAAAGAACCTGCAGCCCTGTCTGCTGATAATGCTGCTCTTCCTTTCTTTATCCATCACAAAGTCTTTTAGCTCCTCCATTCAGCAGGCAGATACCTGATTTAGCAGAGTGGAAACTCTGAAAAGGACAGAAAATGTCACGCGCAGAATACAGAAGAGAATAAATTATTAGCATTTATTTGATGAAATGAATAAATTAATCAGGGATGAAAAGAAATCAGCGAATGCCATGAAATATAAAAACTCTAGAAGTATGGCTTTGAGGCAAATCAAAAGTACTGTCAAGAAAATTACCTTAAAAAGAGTATTCGAACGTCTGAATTTTTTTACAGCCAGCTTGCACAGTCGTGCTGTATGCATTATGTCAAAGAATATTTCACCATGGACAGTACAGAGGCTTTGATCATGAGAATAAAACAGCAGACTCTGGATTCATGGAGCCGCCAGGACCCACGGTGCAGGCTGAACAAAACAAGCCGCGGTCGCATAAGACCGGGATGTAAGATTCCAGTTTGGACGGAGAACTGGGAGACAATGACCAAATGTCTGACGAAGTCAGGAAAAAAATAAAAAAATACCTGCAGATCTGAGATCATAACTTACAAAACAACGGGGACTGGAGAAATGGTGTAGTGCTTCTCAATCTCCCTGAGAAAATTTACTCTTTGGTGTTGGAGAGGAGGCTGAGATTGACGTTCATCATTTCTGTGCAACAATGGACCACATATCCAGCTTCACAGAATCGCTGAGGAGGCATCACACACCTGTATTACCCTGTACAGGTGTGTCCTGTGGGAATGGAGAAGGAGTGGCTTTTATTTAGACATTTATTTTAAATCCAATAACCCTGCTGTTTATTGTGAAAGCCAAATGAAACATTGAACTGCTAACTGTCTGTTTATTTTCCAGTAATTATTCGATGTCGTCGTACATCACATCACAAACTCAAGGCCCGGGGGCCAAATCTGGTCCGCCGTAGCTTTTTATGTGGCCCTCTAGACTCCAAATTGTATCAATAAGTCTCTCAAGTTTTTCACAAATACAGAAAATCCACACAAAATCAACACGTCCCCACATTTTTTTCTGATTTTTACTGCAAATTTTTCTCAAAATTGACGAAAAACATTTGGACTAAGTGACTGCTGCATCAGCCTTACTTGATGTCAAGTTATAGTCAGTGATCGATACGGACTATAACTTAAGAAAAAGTCACATTAGTGCAAATATTGTCAAAATTTCTTCCAAATATTTCTAAATTAGCATCACAAAATCTGTGATTTTGATTACAAAAATAAAAACCATAATCAAGAACACCTGAAACCCCAATAAAACTTTCTGATGTTTATTAAACTTTGCCCTCTGGTGTTGTGTAGCAATAGGTTTGGTTTGGCTATGAATAACTACAAATAACTGCCAAGAGCAATTATAATAAAAATGAGGCCTTTAGATCAACATTACCTGATCATCTGGAAATAACAACATGCAGCTAAAATAAACGATTATAAAAGTTCAACGGATTTTAATAGTGTGTTGCTTAAAAATGGCTTAGGTCCAAAGTCCAGCCCAGGGGCCATTTACGGCCCTTAGACTGATTTTCTGTGGCCCTCAACTCCAGTTTAAAAATTATATTAATTTATTTTATGAATGTTTTATTTTCAAATCAGTGTACAAAAAACTAGATGTAATTTTCTTGCAATGGAAAAAAAGTTTGTCTTTTTACAACCAAACTTTAAGAATAAGTAGAGCCATGTGTATAAATGGAGATGTATCCTGTGAAAAACAGATTTACCCAGATTGCTGCACCCAAATCAGCTTTTATGTAATTTATTAATCTCTGCTAAATATAGCAATTATTTTGAAAGAAATTCTCTTATTACAACTGAATTCATTTGTTCAATCAAAACCAAATATCTTTATTTTTATACAGCAAATGTGAAAAAATATTTTTTAAGTTTTGGATTTGCAAAGATTAACATCCCTTCCCAACAAAAAAAAAAGAATAAAAAATGTGATGACTTTTTTTCTTGGTCCTCAAATACTTTTGACTCTGATTTTGTCCCACATGACAAAAAGTTTGGACAACCAGTGCTCAGGTGGTTCTAACATTTTTTTGCTGAGATATAACAAAGCAGGGTTACTTTGTGCTGCACTTGAGGCACAGCATTTTTCATTAAAATGCACAAAACAGAATGTGGCACAATTTATGAACCCAGCCATTAAATAAGACATTAATCCAGTGTGATGCAATTTACCTAGGCCAGCCTCTGCTCACCATTTACATTTTTGGAAACAAGACTCTGATGACTCACATCAAAAGGTTTCCTTGTTGACTGTTCTGGTGACATTAAAAATAGATGCGCCTCACCTTTAATGAAGCACGAGCCTCAGGGCTTCTGTTCAGAGCATGACTTCAAAGTTTGCTGACCTTGTTATAAAGGAGAACATCCAAAACTCCTTCTGTCCTCCAGGACCTTTCATCCGTTCAGATTTCATTACCTAGACACACAGAAAAAATCCACACATCAAAGGTGAAATATTGCTAGTTAATGATCAATCATCAGAAAACAAGCTCTAGATGCAAGTATTGTGATTTATCCACGCTGGAGTTTGATAACGCCACAGCCTACCTGAGTATTGTTGCTGACCATGTCCATCCCTTTATGCACCCATCTTCTGATGGCTACTTCCAGCACCATGTTGTAAACGTGAATCATCTCAGACTGGTTTCTTGAACAATGAGTTCATTGATCGGTCACCAGATCTTAGTCCAACAGAAAACATTTGGGATGTGGTGGAACGGGATTCGCATCACGGATGTTCAGCCAACAAATCTGCAGCAACTGCGTGATGCTATCATGTCAGTATGGACCAAACTCTCTGAGGAACATTTGTTGAATCTATGCCACAAAGGATTAAGGCAGTTCTGAAAGCAAAAGGGGATCCAACTCAGTAATCACAAGGTGTACCTAATAAAGTGACCAGTAAGTGTACAACAAATGTCTTCATAACTCCATTTAAATTTTAAGCAGTCAGTACTTTCTAAAACAAAGTGAAGTGAAGTCAGGTGTTAGGACACGGGTTGCAAATAAAATAAAACATTCCAGATATCTGTGTCCAGTGGGGCAAACGACTTTCCACAAGTTACTCATAAATGAATAAACAAGCAGGTTACTGAAATCTTGTGCACATGTTCATGTTCTGCGTTCGTTTCTTTAGTACCAAGCCACCTGGAAAAGTTCACTGCTTTATGTCGTGCCCTTTAAAAGCCCACATTCAACCAGAAATGGTCCATGCAAACGACCTCATGAATGCTGATGTACAGTAATGGGACGGCTGACTGGAGGCTTCTGACAGCTGAGAGATAGAAAAGTGAAGACGGCAAGATGAATGTTGGGGACAGAAAATGAATGTCAGGCAGGCAGATAGTGTGGTGTGGAGGAGCCAGACTTTCACATCCATACTGTGGCAGCAACTGTTCATCATGCGGTGAAATTGAAAGGGCCATCACATTTTAATTATAACATGATGAGTGGTTGTTTTACAACTTACACAAAATTATTGTTACAGTAAAATCTCCACACCAAGATCAGCTAATTTAAATAATTTCAACTAATTTGGCCATCACTCAGAGGTATGACGGTGCTTTCAGCCTTGTGAGAGCACTAAAATGGTGTCTTAACTAATTTCCCACCATCAGTGTTATGTAGTTCTAGCTTGTGCAGCAATCTCATTAGCTTTAAATCCTCTTTGCATGAAATGATCTACAAACGAAAAGAAAAAAAAAAAAGTATTTAGTCCAGCAATACTGCAGATATCAAAGTTCGTTTCCAGCTATTGGGATTTGTAAAGTTGCATAATAATTGTTATGGTGGGTTTGGGATATCAAACTGTTTAAAAATAAGTTTATGTGGGATGTGAATATGAACAGAAAATAATAATATTTAGCCATTTAAAAAAAAACACACTGGTGAATTTACAATAGTAAAATTTAACCAGAAACTGAGGTTGGTTATTATAAAAGTAGAACAGGAAGCAGACCTTTTGTGAAACCGGCTCTGAATTTGAAGTAAACATGAATGACTGCACTAAAAATGCTTTTCTACTGCTCTGATGCAATATGCTACTTTTAAATGTTGTGTTTTCATCAGCTGAAATTATCAGGTGACAGCTGATGATTCTCAACAACATCCGTTTATTGTAGTAAATTTAATTACTAGAATAAATTAGCCTTTTAATAGCATTGTAATTAACCGAATATGGAACAGAAGTGTAGAACAGAAATATCCTTTATTGTAGTGGGGAAATTCAAGCGTCACTGCAGCAAATTGGTAAATGGGAACATAGATAATCACAGAAAAGTCTCCTCTGCTCTGACCGTTCCTGTAAAAAGCATCAGCTGTTGCTCCAGCCTAGTTTATTGTTCAGGTGAACAATAAACAAAACAGTGTTTGGACCTTGTCGATTTTTATATCAGTTTGAATAATAAAACAAACTTGTTTTATAACGAGGATCGAACTGGAGCACATGTAATTGATTGCAAATCTATGCATGTGATTGATCCTTTTTGTCTGTAGATCTATAGATTGTGTTTGTTTATATTGTAGATTCCATTGAGACATTTGCTGTGAGTCAGTGCTACATAAATAATCCAAATAATTGAGGCACCGTCTGAATTAACAATAGGGATTGTTGTATTTTGACATTTTCACTGCTTTTTGTCCTTCATAAATAAAATACATGACAAATACTTCTTGTATTGATAAGGTTAGTTTATGTGTTTTACATTTAAATTTGATCTGAAACGTTTTAGTTTGCCAAAAAGCTAAATCTGTAAATCTTTGCATTTGCATTCTTTGTGTACTTTCTCTTATGTACCCTTCATCAATGAGATCATTGACTAATATTAATATTTTGATACTGCAACAATCTATAGACAAGCACTCAAAGTTTGGCATAATAAGTCAGTATGTTTACACTGCTGTTTAATACTTGAAAAACATAAATATATATCTTAGCTGGGAAAACAAGATTAAATATGTAAATGTTTGCTTTATGTATGAGGTTGTTTAGAGTTCAACTTCTCCTTCAGTCAGTTTGCATCAGCACAAGTTTATGATTATCATGAGGCAAGAGAAAACTTATTTCTCTGCATCTTTTCTAAATCTGTACTGGATATATCTCTGTTCTGGCTGGACTCTCAGATTGTTTTCATCTCATTTAGCCTCACATATAGCATTAAAGCAAAGGACGTCTTACATTGTTGTCATTTTGAAGTGTTTGGGTTTCACGGTCCTTAGCTGAAAAGAAAAAAAAATTCTTCTAAAACTGGCATCAAGTCAAAAAAGAGGAGGGGAGGCTGGGAGGTGCACACAAGTTGAGCAGCACTAAATGCACCCACCTCGGCTTCTGGCTGTTTTCACCTTGGATAGCAGCAACAAACCCCCGCAGCCCTGCCTGTTCAGAATTCATCTCACTTCTTTCAGGGATGAGGAATTGTTCAGCTGTGGACCCAATGGGTCAGTGTTTCACTCAAGGGTCTTTTCATGGTTGTAACCTGAGCAGAGGTTCTGCAGAAAGGGGATCAGGTGAAGAGACATTATAGAAGTGACTGCAGTGTTGGCTACAGATAATCTTTGACTGCTATGCTGCAGCATAGAAAACATCACACAGCAGTTTTAGTGATCTCCTTCTGTTTTTAGGAAACAGACGAAGCGTAAACATGAATACACCCACTTACCACGGCTCATGATGAGTGGGTTTAATATAACCTCAATGTTCAACACATATTTATCTGCATTAGGATTTTGCATTCAAATAATGCAACAACCTGAGGTGCAGGATCACACTCTTATTGATTGCATTGACTCAAGAGTTTTAAATGAAAAACTAAACTTGACCTCAACCAACCCTGCATGACAGAGCAAGTTAGGCACAAAGTAACCTTTGTTATCGAGGGTCAGGACAATCCTTTCTATAAAACCTTCCTCTCATGCTTGATTCAGTTTTTTTTCTGTACACTTTATTACCTTGAGAGGCTGTAAATTCAGGGCCTGTGCAAATTCCTCGTCCACGCCACACACAGACTACATGACAGATTGTAACATTACAAAATGTGCACAGAACCATTTATTTTTCTAGTTTTTAAAGCTTACTGCAATCCCCTACATCCAGAGGGTTCCCAATTTGAGCTGCAATGCCTTTAACATATTTTTTTTTTTTTTACAGCTAGCCCATGTCATGCAATGAACAGTCAATGAACTCTGACGCACATGCTAAATTTAAGCTTCCTGTGGTTCGGTACGTCTTAAAAGGATCGTCATACTTAAAATGTAAAATTCAGCGTTTAGACATCTCTTGTTCTCATGCACCTGCATAATGTGGGGTGTCCCTACAGGCCAGTTTTGGGTCATCACAGCACACGTTTTCTGCAGTTATGGTACTAATCATGCACTGTCCCAGTCCAAAAGATGTGCCGGATATTATATCGTTTCTCACTTCACTGAAACTGTGTCCACAGAAGTTCCTGTTGCCGGGTGATTCCAAACAAGAATTAATTAAATTTACAGCCCAAAGCTAGAGTACTAGTAGCACTCATCTGATCCAACAGTATCATTGAACTGTACTAGAAAAGCAACATAAAATTGATAAATTTTTAATTAGTGTTCCTTTTTCCAAAGGTGAGTTCTTCTCACTGCACCAGCACTGCCCTTGTCCATCAGTCATACAACTGACGCAGTCCAAGCTGTTCACTGAATGTGTTTGACGAAACAGGTAAGCAGGGAAGAATGTGGCATTACTGTAATAATAAAACTCCAGTCACTCTGGAACGATTTCTGGCATCTCATCAAAAGTCATTGGAAGCATATCAGAGAGGCAGAAGAGAAAAGTTTAGCAGTTTTACAAAATGGTCATCCCACCAGCTTGGCAATATTTCAGATAATTAAATAAAAAAAAAAAATGAATCAATAATTATTGATAATGGCTGAGAAGAAACGATTATATCGTGATTCAATGCCTCGCTACCAGGAAGTGGTCAATGCTTAAACCTGTTTCACTGCTACTAACATTTGGACTTGCTAGTAATTCAACAAAAGCTCTAATTTTGGGTTTAAACATGTCAGAGGAGCCCTGTTAAGTTTTGAGATGCAACAGGAGAAACTGTCTCGACTGTCCCTCAGCCTGACAGTAATACTTGATTAGAGGCTCTGCTGATCTCATGGGTTTTTTTTTCTTTTTAAGGAGAAAACAGGCTCTGCGTTAGCCGTCAGAAATCCATTGACTGGCCTACAACCATTTTCTCAGACAGACAGCAAAACGCAGCTGCACACAATGTGCCTCCTCAGCCAGGTTGTGTGTACATGTTCCTGTTGCTGTCACAGACATGGAAAAAAATGAGAAAATGTCTCGCTGGTCCCCACTTGTTTGTTGCGAGGTTTAAGCAGGATTTATACCTCTGAAGTGAGGCAGATCTGCTTTGGATGCCTTCAACAAAGACAGGGTTTAAAGCGGAGAAGCACTGCTCACAGAAATAATTTAAATGCTTCTTCTGACACTTTCATATGCTGCTATGTCCTGTTAAGCACACATTCTCCTTGGGATGCATCAGCACCTTCTTGCTGAATAATAAAAGGTCCTACAGTTGCTTTAAACAAGAATTTTATTACAGTATATTATAGAAAGTATGGTCCTAATTCAAACATGCTATTTTATACTTATGCAAATGATATTTTTCTAAATGTTAGTGCCTCATGTTGTCTGTCCTACTTCTTACAGTCATTGAGCCAGGCTGCAACAACAGATTAATCATCAGGGAAAAAGACTAATAAGAGCTAATCACTTACCCACAATTACAAATTTAAGAAATAACCGTTAGCCCACTGATTAAAATCTAAAATTATCAAGGGTTTGTTAGTCTGCTAATAGCAAACAGTTTGGGATTTTGTGGCCTATTTCTAAGACGTCTGGCCTACTTTAATCTAAAAGGGCAGGTAAAACTGAGACAGAACTGAAATCAGTTTTGAACATTGGCTTTCAGCACCAGGACTCCGATACAGAAGAAAAACAGAACCTTACTGGGTCAGACGTGTGCCGTCTACCTTTCCCTGAGCCCCCTTAGTTGTCTAATCGCTGGATGTGATGGAGATATAGTTTAGTGACTTTTACTCAAAAGCAGACTTTGGTTCACCAAAAACTGCTTTTAATAAAATTGAACAAAATTTTATCCAAAAACCGTCCCAAATCCAGTTTGTAGTATGTATGTTTCCCTTTTTAATAAGGGAAATGTGGAAAATCCTTTTTATTATTTTTGGGTATACAAAATATCTCACTATTTTATGTATTTTAATTATTTCATGCTTAGTTCATTGTTCAGCAGGTGAAAAAGGTCACAATGTAATCTTCTTTGTGATTTTAGAAATTCAATATTTTTTGGTCTATAAATAATTCTGACGTGATGCGTTTGGACCGCCCTGATTTACGGCTTTCAACTTTGACCGTTTCCGGAAGTAGAGCAGCAACAACAGGTGTGTGTATTAGAGGAAAAAGAAAAAAAAAGTAGCAAACAAAACAAGCATCTGAAGGAAAACACAGAGACGTACGTACCTTATTCTGTGTAGGTCCAGGGTTGTTTGAAAAGTTCACCAGCCCTTCAGTCCACCAGACGCTTAGTTCAAAAGTTTCATCTTCTACATGTAGTTTTTTTCTTCTTTTCCCAAAAACGCAGCAAACGGGACTTCCCCTGTGGCTAGCAGACGTACAAACTCCCCGGGGCAGCAATCCAACAGCTCAGACTGCTTTTCTCCAAAAACAAAACAATAACAATTAAAAATTTAAATAAAAAAAATTCAGCTCGGGCAAAAACCGGGACACTCCCCTCCGGGTTGATCCGTCACAAGGTGAAGCTTATTTTTCTGTCAGCTTTCCCGCACCGTACTTTGTTTCGTTTTTCTTCCTAGCTGCTCTGTTGCAGCAGCTCCCGTCATGCATCACGCTCATTAACCTCAGGTGTGACACCAGCCCAATCTAAAAGCTCGGCCTCGCTCTCTTGTTTATTTTTATTTATTCTCAGACATAACATTTATCAAACACACTTGAACCAGGCAGAAATAGCATCCACAGTTCAGTTCATTACTGAGATGATGAATATCTTTTTCTTTTGTCTTATATATGACATGAGAACTGCTGTCATTTGGTCACCCATGTTTCTCCCCAGTTGTTGATCTTCAGGGCTATTTAAAGTTTAACTGCATTTTAACAAAAATGCAGATTTTGAGCACATTTGAGCAGATGTTTTGTGGTCAAAATGTTAGAATGAATAAACGATCTGTTATTTTATTATTATTATTATTAGTAGTAGTAGTAGTAGTAGTAGTAGTAGTATTTTATTATTATTATCATTGTCTCTGAGTTTTACAGGCATACCTTTCCATCATGCTCTACTGTATTGTAGATTGTATTTTTCCTGCTTTAACATAATTTAGAGCCCACTTTGGTCATTTTAGTAAAATTCTTAGTTTCTGTACTTTGAGTATGTTGAATTTTTTTTGTATTTACTACTCCACAGTTTGCTCACCTGTGTTGCATTTACTTATTTCACTCAACAGAATAAATAACTCTTGGTTCAGTTGCTCCAGTATCAGACCCTTCAGTTGTATTTACTGTCTGTTCCTGGTTTCCCTATTGCTATTAAAATACTTCCCTGTTTTTTACTGCACTTCCTGTCCCCGACTCTGCATGTGGGTTCATTTCTACCAAAAACAGAACAGAAACACAACAGTGAACCTATTTCTCTCTACAAATACAGCTATGGAAACAATGAAGAGATCACTTAAAATGATCAGTTTCTCTGATTTTACTTTTTATAGGTATATGTTTGACTAAAATGAACATTGTTCTTTTATTCTATGAACTACTGACAACATGTCTCTGTAATTCAAAGCAAAATATGTGTATTTATTTGCAGAAATTGAGAAATGGTCAAAATAACGAAAACGATGCAGTGCTTTCAGACCTCAGATAATGCAAAGAAAGCAATTTCATAATCACTTATAAACAGCAACACTTATGTTTTAAGTCAGGAAGAGTTCAGAAATCAACATATGGTGGAATAACCAGGAGGTTTTAAATGGGGTTCAGTGCAGTGGGCTCTTAATTTTTCCAGAGCTGTATATTTGTAATTTTCATTTAACAACAGATGGGAACAAAACATATTGACAATATTTGAAACAAAGAGGAGTCCTTCAAAACCTTTCATGTTTTATTTTCAAGTGTTTTCTTTCTTCTGGAGATCAGCTACAATCCTAAACCTCCTGAAACTAGCGGCGGTGAACACGACGGGGTGGAGATATCGCTCAGTTTTTATCATTTCAAGGCTCTGCAGATTAGAACTGGTATACTATAACGTCAGACTGGTCCAGAGAAAATAAATAGTATGAACCAGTTTTAACTGATACATCAGGATTTATGAAGATATAATGGAAAAAATCTGCATTACTTCTCCATTGTTGAGACTTATAGCTTTAATTAACACATCATTTCTGTGATCACTGGTGCTTTCTGATTCCCAACAATGGCTTTTATTGCTATTTACTAAGAGAGCAAAAACACAACACTTCCAGCAAAACTGTAAACTACGTCCCAGTAGTTCTCCTCACTCAGCAGAGCTTGCTTGGATTACTCCGAGTCCCTTAATTTTCTAAGCTTTTACAAACAACAGCTGCTCTTAATGGAACCGATTCATTTTAACTCTAATATTGCCCCACAAGTAAGCTGGGAGGTCTGAGCGCCTCATTGGCTTTATGAAGATCGCATTTTCTAAGGTGTCCCCCTCTCCGCTTTGCACAGATGTCAGTAATTAGGTTGGGAGTTTTTTGGGTGTTAGGTCTTAAATATTTGCTTATGGAAATCCCATTGAATGCTTTTTCAGTTAAATGAGGAGTGGACATGATGTTGTTTATGTTTCCAAAAACTTTCCACTTAGAGCCAGGCAAAGCAAATGAACAAACAACAAATGAACGAATGGTTAGTTCTTGCAAATCTAATTGTGAGGAGGCTAACAGCATAAAGATCCACTCGGTCTTTATGCTGAAACGGCTAACACAGGTCTGGATATTCGACTACAGTGTGTTGCTGCCACTTGGAGACAGTCTCGTTTATGTAATACAAAATAAAACATGGAATAGTCTTTGTCATGTTAAGAGCTTGCCTGTGGTTGTGTGGGGTCCTAATCAAAATTATATACTGGGGCCGACGGCATTACTGCTGCTATGACCTCCATTTTACATTCTCTCTCTGTGTTTTCTCTCTCGCTCTCTTTCAGATTTGTGATTAAACTGACTGTAAATCATAACACGAGGTATGAATTCATGTTAATGCATCTCCCAAGATGTGGTGATCAGGCCAAACTTTCCTCAATTTTCCAAATTTTGCGAATTCAAGCATGATTTGGCATAATAACAAAGGAACTGTGAGTTTAGTTGATGTTTTTCATTGTTGTAACAATTCTTCTTGGCAATAAATGTAATTTTGCTAGAAAGCCTGGCTCGTCTCCCCATAAATGGTCCCACATTTCCAAGGAAAATTTGTGGGTTGAGCAGCAGAGTTTAGTATTTTGTTGCAACTTGCTAAATCATCTCTACCAGTGCCAAGTAGCTTCTGATGGTGGAAACCCTTTCCTGACTGGAAAATTAGTAATAGGGAGAGAGTTCAATATGAGAATCTGCAACGAGGGGAAGATGACCATAGCTTACCACACTCAGGCTGGATTTATCAGAGACTGGCTTTGTAATTTAAGGGGCGGAAAGGATGTAACGGTGTGTTTTTAGTCCTGACCTCAGTACCGTTTAACACTTGTGTAATCAGCTGTGCAGGCTTTTAGTATGGTTTGAAAATGGTGATCAAAGCCTGGGATGTCATCCAGCTCCAGTATATAACCAAGCTGGTGATGGTTGTGTGCAGTTTCCCCTGGAAGTCATGCAATCCTTTCTGTAAATAAACTTAAATTTTAGAGTTTCTTGAAATTTTATTCACCTAATTTACTAAATAGCACCAAGGGCCAATAACACTAAGCATTAATGAGGGGAACAATAGACAATTTGGACATGATAAAAAAGGTTTGGCAGCTTTTATTATATCTTTGTGTTTGTTTAATCCACATATATAATTCTGCTGCTTAACCCACGGATGTGTTGCTACATCACAAATATAGCAACAGATTTTCCAACAGTACAAGATTTACTGTCATTTATTGTTGCTGCAACAAGGAATAATTGAAGAAATAGGTATTTCTTCACTTCTCGTGCATTTGCATGTAGAAAGCATTCGTCAGGAGACACTCTACACACGAAGGCTGCAACATGTGGTTAATTTCATCCCTGCAGGGCATTTTGGCCTTCAATGAGGCCTGGCAATGTGCATAATTTATGTCAGTGCCCCAGAAATAGGCACACGGCTTTGTGGATTATTTCAATATTCATATTGTAACCTGCAATTTTAACATTTTCCTTTTTACGATACTCTGCCTATGAGTATAATTTATTTTACTGTTTTCTATAATAACAAAAATAAGGGATCAAAGTTGCTTTGTAGGGATCCGTCTTCTCATGCATCTTTGATGTAATGTTCTTATTCACATCTCAGAAGAGGCTAATTCACTGTGTAAATATTTGATATGGCGCTTTTATATTCCAACTTTCAACATTTCAATTGACTGTAAAAGATGTCAGTCTTTTAGCTCAGTGTCCCAGAAGATTATTTTTGTAATCATTGTTCGGATTTCTTGAAATCAGCCCTCAGAAATTATCACTAAAACTAGGTTTACCCAACGGCTGACCTTGCAAACTCCAACTCAGTCCATAAAAAGCCGCAGAATATGTTGTGGTACTCAAAATAGTGTCCACTGTTTGAAATGTCAAGATATCTTACAGGGGCAACTACATCAGTTTCAATGAAAGACCAAAGTTGCAGAAAGCTACTGCACATCATCAATCAAACTCTGTGTGATCAGACTCAGATTGCTGCAAATCGCCCAAGAGGACGGAAATCAATGTATGGCAAAATTACTCCTGGGACCAAATTGACAAAGATGAAACAACTGGTGCAAAATTGGATATGAATTACGATTATGATAAATGCTGTGACTCCAGGCATATAGGCTTGTTTGTTGGGAATGGATTCTTTGAAAGACATAAAAGAGGAAATGTCCTGTATGGTTTTATATACAAAATGTTCTTTTCCAGTGGTGACATTTGTTCGTGTAAATTTGCTCCTTCACTCTTTGTAAGCAGTGATGATAACATGATGCTTGATTTAATCCCTTCTTGAAATGCAAAGAAAGAACTAACAGCTTGATAAAAACAGGTGGAAATCAAAGATTAACTATTTACAGGGAAGCAGAGGTTTTGGCCCCTGCATATTGATTGATTGATCAAAATTTCATCATATTCAACAAAAATTTTGCCAAAAGTTATTCAGGTATTTTTTGAATTAGAGTATTTTTTTAATTTAACTTGTTTTTCTTTATCTGCTGTATTTAAGGCACAATAGTAAGTATGTTTTGCGTCAAACAAAGAGAAAACCTCAGGTAATCATGAGCTTTGTTGGGTAGTCCTGAACCTATTAAAGTCATATTAATTAATGACATCATTAATGAAAAGTCCACTATCTCAGATTAAATTAAAACATAATTTAGAATATTTCACAGCCTACCTCTCATCCAATGGCTGCTGGAGAAAAGCTGCTAAGCTAAAACTACTCAGAGTTGATTAGATCCAAATTTGACCCATTTGGTTACAAATGCATTTATTTGCATTTTTCAATGTGCATGACTGTAGGAAGGGTGCTCTTAAAATGCTCCTTGCATGATTTTAGTTTTATTTATTTTCTTTTTGTGTATATATATATACTGCTGCTGCAACCACTATCCAATAGTCATCATTCATCACCATTTACACCGACTTGCAAATTTATTCATACCCTTTGAACTTTGAAACAAACAGAAAGCTCAGTGTATTTTATGGGGATT